ACATATAAAAGGATAACTGATGTAGGAGGCATGTGAGATTTTTATGTAGATAAACCAGATAGGATAAAAACTATAGAGCCTAACTCAGTTGAAATAATTCCACAATGCTAATGTAGATTAAAAGACTTTACTGACCCTTGAATAGTCACAAGTGGGGATTATCTTTGAAACTTTTGCTAGGGCAGTGGTGGTAACCCGTCTGTTGTGAAGGAAGACCAACGATAAAGGTCAGATGCCAAAAAATTTGACGTCGTCGTAGTTAGTAACAATGGCTTGGCGATGATGGTTTGTCAGCAACGAAGATGGTGGTCTGACACCAGAGGTCTAGCCAAAGCGGTGACCCAACAATAATAGTTTGACAACAGCGACAGTGGTGGTTGCATTGTGATTGTTCGACAGTGGTGGCCATTCCGAAGTGGACTAGCTAAACGATGGTGGTGGTCGTGCAACAATTTGATGGTTGCTATTGTCGGGTGACAGTGGCTAGACTGTGTTGGTTCAATAGCGATGACGGTGGTGGTCGGGCAGTGGTAGTTCGGAGATGGTGACGACGGAATAGGGGTTGTCTGACAACCGGTGATGGTGGTGGTCTGACAATGACGATCTGGTGGCCTTGACGGTGGTGATAAGGCGACGGTGGTGATAAGGTAACGGTGGTTCGGCGACGATGGTAAGGCAGCGAAGTTGGCCAAACAAATTTGGTCTGGGGCAGCGATGAAGGTCAGACAACGATAGCCCGGTGAAGGTGGCGGCCAGATGATGATGGTATGGCGGCAATGATGGTGGCATGACGGTGTTGGAGCTCAGGAATCCTCAATACCTCAGAGCTTCTTCAGCCATCCCTTCCAAGCCTTAGTACATCCTTCATGAAGAGAGTAATGACCTATTTATAGATTTTGTGAATGACATCCTCTGAAATTGTAGAATAAATTCTGACCAATCCATCAAATGACTGAATGATCTCCTTGATCAGATGATATTGTACGAGTGTTTAAATGCCTTGATGATATCAAAATTATGTGATATTGAGCTCATTGGATTCCATTCTTCAAGATACTCGATTTGACTATAAACTTATAAAATTTAGAGATAATTTGTTACCCAAAATATATTTCAAAACTTGTAATTATGTTTTAAGTGCATGGTGTTATTGCGAGATCTATAGATCAAATAAGAAAATGATCGACGAAGCAAAAATAGAATGAGAAAAATTAACACCAGAAAAGAACACACAGCAAAACACACAGATTTACGTGGTTCGGCAAATTGCCTATGTCCACAGAGTTGCAGAGGATTTTACCTTGAGGAATTTACACCAGTCGATCACCTCGACTTACAAGATGAATCTTTCACTCTCACTCATTGCTCTCTTTTCTTCTCTTTCTCTGTTCTTCTCTCTCTACTTCGAGATACACCAAAAAAACTCTACACTGAGATACACCGAAGAAGATAAACTTACAAGAGAAATAAACCCAATTTCTCTTCTGCCACAAGTCACCAAGAAGAAGCATAGGGAGAACAATATTCTTCTTCTTCTTCTTTGTTCTTCTATCGCAAGGAACTACTCCTCCTTGCACTTCTCTTCCACAGCTCCGTGGAAACTCGAAGAACTTTTCCTCTATCCCGTGGAAACCCAAAGAAGAAACACCAACCGTGACTTCT